CTGATTCCTCAGACAACACTAGCCTCCCTCAGCATTCTCACTCACACATGTTACTAACATACACGTCCAGTGCCATACCTTGCACTAATGTTACCTGCCCATCTGGGAAAGTGTGTACTGTGTGCCTGAAGGCAAGGACAGAGCAGGCTGATGTTTGTGTGTGCAAACTGCTCCCCTGAGGCAGCAAAGTGATGACTTCCTGCTGGTGACTCAGCTGCACCTTTCCCTGCTGCTCATCCAGGATCTGTGACTTGGCTCAGGAGGGCTGAGCTCAGGAGAGTTTGATTTGTAGGACAGGATTTATGTAAGGTTATTGCTTACTTCTGCAGATAAGCACAGACAGTGCTGATCAACAGTTGCCATGCTTCTAGCTCAGAGTAGCTGTGTTCTCTCTGTAACTCCTGTCCGTGGCCAACCTTGCACTTGGTGCCTGCAAAGCAGCTCCAAACTAATGGGACAAAATGTGCTGAGCACAGCAAACGCAGGGTGCACATTGTTCAGCTCTCCCAGCCAACCTGTGGAGAACTGACCACCATTTCCCGTGCTTCCGGCCTGAGCTGGCACCCGGGTGGCAGGCAGGTAACAGGGAAGGTGCTGAGAACACAGGCTGAGATTGCAATGCAGTCCTGAGGGGGACAACCATTGTTGGTACACTGATCCTCACTGATAAGTTCCCAAGTAAACTTTATTCCTAAGGGCATAATTCTAACGGCAGAGCACTAGCCTAGTTCCAAACAAACCCCATCTACCTGGACAATTTGCCTACTCACTGCAGCTGACACCATCTCCCATTTCTTTTACCTTTTGTGCACCCAGTACCTCTCCAAGCCCACAGTGACTCTGGCTCATTCTCTGAAGCACAGCTGGTTCTGACAGTTCTTGAGAGGGCAGGAGCACAAAATCCTGGAATAGCAAGCAAAACAAGTAAGTGTTCCTGAGTAGAGTAGAAGGAGAGGAAGAGCACAGGACTGGCAGGAGCTACTGAGTAGCTTATGCAGCATGGCTTGTCTGTGCCACAAAATGAGCTGCCCAGGTGAACGCACACTGACTCATCACTGTCTTCGACTCAGGAAATGAGTTTTCCAAGGAACTAAACCATGTCTTTGCATATCCTCAGCAGGGACTGAAGGTCCTTCCTGCTCAACATGTGTCACTACAGTCGTCTTGGGCTATGGTGCCATAGTACCATTGTACCATGAGCTATTCTGCTTCTTGGCTAGCTTTGCTGAGCAAAACATTTCCTTTAAAAGGCTTTCTTAAGAGGCACAAGAATTCAACAGACCATGAAAATACTGTCCCATGGAGGATGACAGTTTAGTACCCCAGCTCTCTTCCTGTGGCTGTTGCCATGTGGCAACTCTACCTGTTCCCCAAAAGCAGTGCCAAGCACACCATCTTCTGCACCCCACTAAGCTGACCCATTAAAAGATACAAGGTCCTTGCCAAGCTGCTTCACCAGCTTGTCCCTAGGGGAAGGGACAGGACCCTTCCTGCCCTTGTAGCATTTGTTACTCTGCCAATGGCACTGCAGAAAATGAAGCCTGCAATCCAGTCAACACTGCTCCACCTCCACCCATCTTAACTGCCCAGACATAGGAAGAAGAGAAAAGGATAAAACCTTGGATGACAGACAACAGGACATGAGTCCATATACGTTAAACTGCTTACATGTGGAGAGATTGAGGAAAAGGTAATTCAGAGTCACACAGATGTAAACACCAGTCAGATAAGACACATCCCAGCCACTTCACTCCTGTCTTAAGGCCAGCACAGTCACACTGGTGATCAGAAGCACTTGTCATGCAGGCAGCCAGGGGAGCAGCTCGCATGAACAGGGCAAGGCTGATGTATGCCAAGTCACCGGTGTGATCTGGCTGGTGAATAACCAGGCAGGGCCATGAGTCAGCCAGCAAACACTCCCACACGCACCCCTCCTGCCCTGCGGTGTGACAGCAGCAGAACAAGGAGATGGCTGCAATAAAAACCCCATCCCACCTTCTCAAAATGGTGTTTTCCCAAGCACATCCTCTAGATGGTCTGGCTAGAGTTTGGTGTACAAATCTTCACGAACCTGAGATTACACAGGGCAGAGGAACGGTGCTGCAGCCAAGCCCAAGGGCTGTAGGCAAGAAGCAAAATCACCCAATCATGTTGGAAAGTAGCTCGGATGGTTTTACCTCCTGCTCAAAGGAAGACCACATCAAAAATCTAGTCGGGCCTTAAAACCCCGAAGTGAACTGACCCCAAATTAGCTCAGTTCTTGAGAGCCTGGTGCTTAAAATGCCATGGTTGTGGGTTCCATCCCCACATGGGCCATTTATTCAAGAACTGGACTCAGTGATCCTGATGGGTCTGTTCCAACTCAGAATATTCTGTGACTGTGATCCCAGCCAAGCCACTCTGGCTGTCCTGCCCCAGTGCTCAGCTCTAGCTGTGTGGTGACAAAATTCCCCTACACCCTGCTGCACACCTCTCCCAGCCTCAGGCACACAGCCAGCCTGCCCCTGAACAGCTTTGTACCCACAGAGGGCAATCCTTCTCACAGTGATCCCAGATCCATCCACCTTGGTGTGTACATGGCATCCTGGACCAGCAGGGACACTTGGAAGTTCTGCTCTTCCCACACTGGCCATTCCACAAGGACCTGCCCAAGCATTCCTTGGAGTTGTCTGACCCCTCACAATGGCTCTCCAGTCCCCCCAACTCTGCATGCCCAGCACCTAGAGCCTCACTCCACAGTGCTCCTTCCCTCACTTGCAACAAAAAGCAGGGTCGGAGCCCTTCTGCAGCTTCCAGGTGGCACAAGCTGCCACCCAGCCCCACAGTGGAGCCTCCATCCCCTTTCATGCCAGCACCACCTCCAGCCAGCCCTCCTCCCATGTGCCCCTGCTCTTATCTGCAGGCAGGTCCCTGAAGAAACTCCACCAAAAGTCTGGCATCTCTCCACCTGCTCCTCTTAGTGCCACACAAACAGTTCGTGGGGTTACGGCTGGGCTCAGGAGCAGTGACCCCATCCATGCAAATCAGGATCTACACAAAAAGACAAATGCTTAATTCCACAAAGAGCTCCTGGGGAAAAGAAGGGAAGAAAAAATAAAAATAAAAATTTTAAACCCCAAGAAGCTTCCTCAAAATGTCACACAAGAAAAAAGCTGAAAAACCTCCCACAATGCCATCCCAAAAGCCTCTCCCAAACTTATAAAAGCCTCTTTTTAGCTGCATAAACAACAACAAAAAAAAATGCTTTGCTGGCAATCTTCAAAATTGGGGAACTCCTCAAATTATGAGTGGGACAGAAAATGAGGGAAAAAGGTGGGGAAAAGCCCCAAATAAACTGGTGGAAACCATGGAAAGGAATGGTAAAAAGTTGAAAAAAGCACCAGCAGCAGTGGGCATCTCTCTGGTGGGGAAACAAAGGAGAGAGTTTACCCCCTCCAGTTCCAAAATTCTTCCCCCTCAAAAGCCTCTCTGAAGTGCTGGTGTCTGCTGAGTGCCTACACCTGTCTTGGAATGTTCCCCCCAGCACACAGCTCCCTGGCAAGCCAAGCAAATGACCCACCTCCCAGTGGGTTGCCTGAATTTTGTTTGTTCCCAGTTGAATTTTGTTTGTTCAAAGCATGGGCCAGGTGTTTGGCCACACAGAGCTCACGGCTCTTCGTGACTGTCACTCGCCTCAGCCTTGTAGCCGGAAGAACCTGGCACAGATGACTTCATGAAACCAAATTAGGGGTCATACACTAGAAAGGACATTGCCACAGCTCTGGCGTAATTAGGGCCCATCATCATCAAGGACAGGAAATTGGCACATCTGCTTTCTGGGCTGCTGATCCAACGGTGGCTCAGGCACGATGTCCTGCTGCAGCCCTCCTGGCCCTGCATAAATGTTGCCCTGAGTGCCCCCAGACAGTGGTACAAGCAGTTGTTTTATCACTCAGTCTCCCAGTAGTTCTTTACTCTTTTTCTCCTGGGCCTGGCAGGACAGAACTGACACAATGCTCTCTCTTGCTCTCCTTTGCAGCGCTGAAGGGGCCAGGCCAGATGAATAAATGTCAGCCCCTTTTCCTCCAGCGTGACCCCAAACTGAATACAAGTGATGTTTCTATTTGGATGCACCCGCAGAAGGTTTGAACCTGTCCCCCTGGAGCCAGTGATAAAACTGCCACAAATTGGATGACTGCTGGATCATGACCCACACTTTTTAAAAAATCATTTTTCTCCATATAATATTGAGAATTGTGTCATCTTTTCCCTGGGTTGCACTGCTCTGCTGGGAGAGTTCCTGGCTGCTCCATTCTTCTGTGTCCTCTGGCTGGGCCGTTGTTTCCCAAGAACACCAAAAAGGGTCACTACAACTCTAGAGTTGTGCTAAACTTCCAGCCCTGGTGATCCCTGGGCATTGCTCAGAGCCAGCAGCAGCTCCCGGGCCAGAGTGGGATTTCCATGTTTTCCGTCCTGCTTTTTTTTCCTCTCCCAGGCAGAGCGATTTATTTTTATGCTGTTGTGGTTTGCACCAGGACAGCCCATCTTTCCCTCTTTGTTTTCATTCCTTCTGCTTGTCTGAGCACCGTGGAAACAAACAGCTTTGGAAAAGTGGAAACAAGCATCTCTGCGCCTCGTCCAGGGCATCAGGCAGTAGAGAACCACAAGAAGCTCAGTGGAGCCTGCTCCGCTTCTGCTGAGACAGGAGGGAGCATCAGGGATCATCCTGGCTCCTCAGGGATGAGTCAGCGTGCACACAGCAGGGACACTGCTCCATATTCCTGCACTAATACCTTCTCTCATCCAACATACTGCTAGTGTTTAGGTCTCCTGGCTGTTGGAATGGAAGGGTTTCTTTCCCCGCTGTGTTTCTGTGAGTATTTTCAGTGGGCACTACAAATGCTTCATGATGCTGGAAAGGAAGAGCTATTCAGGAATTCAGAGCTTGCATAATTCCCAGATTTGTCTAGACAGATACTTTCCATCTGGATGATGCAGGCAGTACCACATGGACACGAGAGTTTCTGTGTTACTTAATGCTGTCCTTTTTATTTATTCATTTCTACACTGCTTTACAGGATGCTCACAGACACAAGGCTTCAGCTGTAATGGGAACAAGGATTTGCAGCTAATCCTTCAGGAGGCAGCTCTCAAAGAGCTCCTGCATGTTGTGTAACTGCTGGAGCCCCTCTGGTTTCTCTTTCCTTTACAAAGCATGAGACTTCCAAAGTGTGGTTCATATCCTGTGAGGGGAGAAGAAAAATATTTTCTGTGAACTGCTCTGGCTCAAGGCTCCCCATCATGATCATCACCTGTCCTGGTGTTTGCACAGCTCAGGGTGTCTGGAAGCGCTGGCTGGTGCCAGGGTTGTGGAGCTGTCCCATTCCATGCTGCCCCTGGATCATTTGGCAGAAGGGCGATCCCAGACCTGAGTCAGAAAGATTTAATTAATCAGCATGGCAGCTGCACACACAGAAGCACACAAGTTTGATTTTTCCAAATGTTGGCAATCGCTGAGCATCCTGAAGAAAGCAGGCTGGCTCACAGCTGTTGGGCAGAGGTATCCTGGACCTGGACTGGATTTCTCAAGCAACAAAGCCCTCCAGACCCTCTGTAGTCTAAGCAGAAGGCAGCCTGTGTGGCCACCAAACTGCTGTTTGACTCCAGTCCTAAGGTCATCTCACCACTGAAGGATTTCCCCCCCAGGCACCACCTTTCTGCTGCAGCATTCCTGAGGACCCACGGGCAGGGCCAGGCTCATGGCCAGGTTACAGCAAGGGTGACTTTTCCTTCCAACTGCTCGTCCCCAAATACGACGAGTTTGCTTTGGCACCGTTTGCCTGAGGTCTTCCCGACCAACCTGGGCCAAAAAAAAAAGATGGGAGTGGGTGGATGTTAAGGGACAACATGTGGGGAAATCATCTGCAAGTGCTGGAGATGAAGGAGGGAACTGTATAATCCCAAAGATGCTGTAAGCTGTTCTGTTTACTACTTTCTCTGCAGTAAACCTTGGCAGTGAACTGGAGTTCATTTGCTCATTGACCATCCACGTCAAACCTTCTGCTTTTAGGGCTGGGTTACTTTGTAGCTGTATTTTTTTAAGAGTTCTGTTTTCCTTGACTGAAGGGGGTTTCTCCCTGCTCCCTCTGGTTTCCCTGCTGTCCCAGCCTCCAGGCATAAGAAGCCAGTGTAAAGGAGGTCCTTGTGCAAGTGACCTGGATTCCAGATGGGCGGGATGGGGAGCGAGGGCAAGCTGTGCCTGCTCCAGGTGCAGAACCAACACACAGAGGACACTCAGCTGGGGTTGGGGCAGAGGTCTGCAGCTGGCCTGGGTCCCTTGGTGCAGCCAAAAGCCAAGGTCCCCTCCTGCTGCTGCAACATGGTTTGTTTTGGCATTGGCAAGCCGCTGATGCCTCATCTGGCTCCTGGGATATCATGAAGATAGCTCAGGAGGCTGCTCTCCTGAGGGTTTGTGTGCACACAGGGAAAAACACCTATCCTGATGGGGCTGGGCACACTGTGCAGCACTGTGGCACTGGAAGAGGTTGGGGAAGAGAGCCAAGCATCAGCGAACAAGTTCTGGGAATTGGGAAAGGAGGCTCCACCCCTTGTGTGAAAGAAGCCAAACAGCCAGGAGCCACTATATGCCCTACATGCCTATCTCCCTCTCATCCGTTCATTCCAGCAAAATAGCCATGATTTATCTGCTTCTTCAGCAGAAACCACAGGCTAAAAGAGGAATTCACACACTTGGAAACAAGTAAAGAGTGAACTGGCAGTGGAGGCTTGTTCCACACACGGGGTCACATGCGCCTGAAGCAAGATTTCCAACATCTGGATAACATGACACGCACTCCCGGGCAAGGCGAGCGCTCCTGGGGCTTGGGGTGGACTCGTGCAGCTTGGAAAGCTGGAGTGCATCTGGTTTTGGGAAGCTCAGCAAGCTTCCTCTGTTGTCTCACAAGCCTCTGCTCAGCTCGGCCTTTCTTTTGGCTGGGTCTCTGGAAAAGCCCAGGCTGCTCTGTCCTTAATCTTCCATGTTTTGTGTATCCACAGAGACTGTAAAACACCGCTTGCTTACTCTTTGGCCTTGCTAGCTCAAAGGCATTAAGAACTTTGTGAGCGAGATCTCTGGCTGACATTATTCACTGCTGGTCCACGGGCTCTGGTAAAGTTTCCAACTTGCATCATGTGGAGGCTTGGCTCGGCGTTGGGATCGGTGTGGAGAAGGCACTGTGACACGGATGTGTCAGGTCAGAGCGCCGTGGCTACAGCGAACCATCCAGAGACAGCAGGAACGGGGCTGAAGTGAGACGACAGGAAAACTCTCCAGCAGGATGACTCTGACTTCCCCATCTCTTCCTGCGGAGGGAAAACCAAGATCCTTTTTGCAGTCTGATTCACCCCCGCAGCCTGTGGGAGACACGCCATCACCGTTAGGACGGGGCTTTTTTTTTGTTTCCAAGTGACAATTCCGCGGTGTTTGTGCAATCCCCAACTCCCCCCCTCGACATTAAATCCAGTCGGGGCTCACTCTCCGGCACACGTGCAGCGCCGGCAGCACCGCGAACCGGAGCGACGCGGCTGGCGGGACGCGAGGGGGACGCGGGGGCCGGGCGAGCGGGGGCGGTGCGAGCCCGCCCGCCCTGTCCCCCGCCCCAGCCGCCGCCGCTGCGGGAGGGAGGGCCGTGCCGTGCCGGGCCGGGCCGGGCGAGCCGCGGCGGCGGCGGCGAGGGGCGGCCACTCCGGCGAGCGGCAGGACGGCAGCGCCCGCCTGCGCTCTCCGCCGCCCGCAGGCTCCATGGCCGGCGCCGTGCCCTTGCTGCTGCTGCCGCTGCTGCTGCCGCCGCTGCCCGCCGGCTCCGCGCCGGCCGAGGGCGAGCCGTCGTGCCACGGAGCCTTCGATATGTACTTCGTCTTGGACAAGTAAGCGCGGAGGCGGGCGGGGATGGGGGAGCCGCCGCCATCGGGGAGCGGGGCGGCGGCGCCGCTTTGTTCGGGCGCCGCGCGGGGCTGAGGGGCCGCGCGCGCGGGGGGCGCCCTGAGGGGCTCGGCGGGAAGTTCGGGAATCCTGCCGGGACCTCCTGAGGGGCCTGTGGAAGTTCGCCCACCGGAGGTGCGTTTGCGACCGGAGGATTTGGGAGAGAGAGCGGCAGCATCTGCCGCCCGCCCCGCCGCGGCGGCCGGGCTTTTGTGGGGAAGTTCGGCGGCCGCGATCGCCCTCAGGGCGAAGAGGGAGCGGGGCCCGGGCCACGGACTTACCAGCGAGAGCCGCGGGTACCTCGAGGTGATGTCTGGAACCGCGAATATGGTCGGTTTCTCCCCGAAATGTCACCCCAGATCAGGCCGCTGATGTGCTCTGGTTTTCCCTTGTAGGTCTGGGAGCGTGGCGCCGAACTGGCTAGAGATACTTGATTTCGTAAATCAGCTGACAGAAAGATTTGTGAGGTACGTGGTGCTGCTTGTGACACCCGAGGTGATGCTGGAGTAATTCTGGGCTGTGTTAAACCCCCCCACCCCCCCGCCTTATCCCCGTGCTTTTGGAAGCTCAGGGGATTGTTTCACAAACACATTAAAAGTTTGGCTTCTAAGACCCAAATTGCTGGAAAATATTGGAAACTTTATTTTCTTGTGCTTGGAGCTCAGCAGAAAGGTGACAATATGTGTCTAAACACTCTCAAATGACTCTCAGATGTTTTTTTAAACTTGTTTTTCAATATACCATTTTCCTATTTTCTGATGGGAGTACTGCTCAAATTCTGTGTTTGAAGCTCTGTATAAAGGGGCAGTCTTGAACACATGTAAACATGCGCATTAATATATAGCGCAGGTCGAAAGGAAGAGAGCAGTGTTAAAGCTCAAACTCTGAGGAAGCCCATGCCATGTAACAGTGCATTTGTTGTACTTACATATAATCAACTTACTTACATATAATCAACTTTGTTACTGTCAGCAGTGTGGTCGGGCAAGTCCAGCTCCTCTTGAAATAGCTGCTGTAAATCCTGGCTGACTGCTCTGGACATACAGCTGAGGATTGCAGTGCTTTGCTTTAAAAAACCCCTACAACAAAATTCAGGATAAAGCAAATGAGTCCCTCACCACACACAGGGAGAGATGGTGTGGTAGGCTTTGCTGAGGAAAACGTAGTGCAGAGTGCAGTTACAATCCTGGCTTGCTAAGAAAAGGATCCAGTTAGGCATTTAGAAGTAAATATTGCTTATTTTCATCTTGTAAAAAGCAACGTTTTTGTAAACTTCTGGAAAACTTCTGTCCAGGGGGGCCACAGAAACTTTTCAAAGTTGTTTTGTAAACTCTGGAATTACAAAAAAAGAAAAAGAAAAAGAAAGCCTGATAACAAAGCAGGACTTCTTTGGGTAGGTGGTAAAAAATTTGCCCACCCTGAGAGGTTGGAAAGATTTCAGTGGAAATCTTTCGGTTCAGCATCTTCTCCAGCCAAGGGACACTCCCTCTTGCAACACTCGTGTGGAGGTCTGGCTGCGTTCCCATCCCAGTGTCCGAGTGCTCACAGAGGAGGCATGGACGTGTGGCTTGTGTAAAGAAAGGTTCTGTGGGGATCCTGGAGAGAAGCTGGCTAAAGCGTAACTTGGAGGGTGTTGCACGTGGGGGTGCATCACCAACAGGGAGGCCTCGCCCTAACCACTAGGCAGGGGTGCGCTTGCCAGAGGGTGGGATTGCAAGTACTCAGTTCTGTTTGGTGGCTCAAAAGGGTGATAACCCCTCAGTTTCAATTCTGATTTATTTTAGAGCCTCTCAGGTTTTGGTATGCAGAGCCATTATGGATAGACTGCAGGCCTGGGTTTTAAACCCGAGGTCTATGCACTTCTGTGCAGACTGGCAGCATTTACATTCCCTTGATAGCAATAGATTTAAGTTGCATCAGTGTCATCAGTGGACTGAAAACATATGGTCATTCAGCTTTTCAGGTATTAAGTCCTTACTAACCATAACCTGATTAATTAATGGTGATACTTATATACAGTAAATTACAAAGTTAGTGAATATATTAAAATTGAGATGTTACAGGAAAATTCCTGTCTTGGGCCTCCAGAGCATTAGGCAACTCCTAAGTGTTTTCCACTGCTAATTTGATATGATTCCCTGCAACTTATCTTAAAAATAAATTTTAAAAAATGGTTGAATTCTTCAATAAAATCAATTCATACAGCATTGCTTTTTACCATGACATTTCCCTGTGTGCTTTTAGGGAAAAAGTTTTCAAGTCTCATAACTCCCTGGTCAGAGAAAAAATCACAGTCTCACTGTGGAAGACCCTGCATGCTGCTTTCTTGTGACTGGGAGGATTTGATAAACATAAACGAAAAGCAGAGTTGGAAGTAGGCATTGTGTCATCCTGAAGGAAAAGGGGAAAGATGGGAAGGGTTAGGGGTGTAGTTCAAAAGCACGTTTCTAGGAGGCTGGAGGATAAAGATCATGCGAATGAGACCTGAATAAGTGAATGAAATGCTGTGCATCGGTATGTTTCTCTGAAATGTGTTTTTGCCTTCTTTCCCCTTTCTAAAGCCCCAAGATGAGACTGTCGTTTATCGTGTTTTCCACTCAGGCGCATATCGTTATGTCGCTAACTGGAGACAGGTTAGTGCTCTGCTTTTTTAATTCTCCCCCTCTCCCTCCCTCCCTCCCTTTGCCCTTACTGAATCAGAGGAGCAGTAACAGGAACGAAACAATGACTGATCCCTCTAAGTGGTGGCCAGTCATGAAGCTGCCCTGCAGAGCTGATTTAATTTTGTGGCTATATCCCTGGATAGCCTCATAAAAAAGGAAGGAGAGGAATGATGGGAAACAAATCCTTGATGTTACCTCTGCCACTGCTTTGCAGAAAAACTAGCAGTAATGTTTTCATCTCTGTGTGACTCTGCATCTCACTTGGCACAGTGTGAGAATGATTCTTCCATTTGCTTTTGTAAAGCAGCCTCCATAGGAGGATTAGCCGGACTTTTCTCGTGTCTAGGAGAAGCATAAAATGGTAAATAAATGTATCTCATATTCTCACATAAGGTAGGTATTTTGTTTTGTATTTCCTAACCTGGACTTCAGGGCCTGTTTAGATAGTGGGGTTGGTGCCTCTTGAAGGGTGTGAGATCTTTCTGACACTGTGGTGATGTACGGGTCTGCCTGAACTTTCAGTGGATGGTTTTGAAGGCGTTGGAATTCAAGGCTGCTCACTCTGATTTCTAAAGCAAGTGAGGATTTGCAGCTAGGATATCTTAAGGATGGGTGGGGGGGCAACAGAAGGAGGAGAAACAGCTAGAGAAGAAAATATTGCAAAAATAATTACCGAACTCACAGAAATTGGGAAATTGTTGTGTGGAATGAGTGCTCTCGGCAGAGGACAGTGGCACTGCTGTCAGAGTCCTTTGGTGTCCTCTCAGCTTTCTCAAAACCAACACGACCTCTGCTCTGTTCCTTCTGTCCAGAAGCTACCACTATGCACACCCTTCTGGGTTTTGAACCTGTGGATAAACCATTTAGGAATCACTCCACCAAGCTGTGGCAGGGTGGAAGTAAGGTGGTCTGTCCTTTCTGCTCCCATTAATAGGGTCAGTGCAAAACATGGTGTGCTGTAGCTGGTTAGCTCTGCTGTGGGTTTGTTTGTTTTAAACAATACATAACAACAAGTACAACACCTCCTGAAAAGACCTGCTGCTGGCAACAGGCACACGTCATGCTACAGAAATGTAGCGGACATCTGAGATGTCTAAAAACTCAGTTCTGAGCCCCTCCTGTTTCAACATTTAAAAAGTGTTCTGACTAGAAAACAGCCACTTCCCCCCATCCGGACTGAGATACTGGATCTGCTCTCTGTGGGCAGAGAGTTGCTTATGAGCCATTTTTCCAGATGGCTTGAGAGGGGTCAGGAGAGGACACTTGAGCCTGTTCTGAGGCCTGCTGAAGTCAATGAGGTGCTTTCTCTCCATTTCAGTAGGCTGTCAGTGGCCTGTTCCTTATCAGGCCTGAGAGGCAGCACTGATAGCACACAGACCACTTGAGGGGCAGGATGCTGGAAGCCCGCCACGGGGACACAAGTGCCCTTTTCATTGCTGGTCTGTGGCACACTCGGAGCCATGGACAGAATCGTGTTTTTCTCAGAAGCCTCATGTAAAGCACAGGAAGAACCTCTGCAATTCCAGTGGGTTCTCCTGAGGGGCTTGGCTCTAGTTCAGGATTGGCTGATGCTCTTGCCAGTGTGTCAGGGGAAGCAAAGTGTCACCCTTCTTGTTCAGAGAGAATTCTAAGGAGAAAGGGAAAGGAGACTGGTGACTGTGACCATATGTACATAGGTAAGGATGGATAGATACAGTTGGAGCAGCTGTCCTTTTAGATATGAAAGAAATCAACAGAGGAAAAATACTGAGACTGTCTGGACCCTGTTGTTCCCAACAGAAGATAAGGATGCTAAGCACGCTGCAGTGTTTGTGAGGGTGATTATGGAATATTATGGCCTTGGTTTGTTACATGCACTTTGGACTTGCAGGCATGTTTTTGCCCTAGCTTACTTGGTAATTCCCAAATGTCAGAAAACCACAATTTCTTCCCAGCAGTTAGATCAAAGCAGGACAGAATTTTTTCTTTGCAAAGCCTTAGGCTTCTGATTGTTTGCACAAAGCTCTTGCTGGGTTTACTGCACAATAAAGCTGTGGGTATAAAGAAGGCCACAGCAGAGTGCCGAAGCTCCCAAATTCCCAAATATTTTGTGAGTGTGGGCAGTGCTGTGACTAACTCTGTAAAGAGAAGTCATTGTTAATCACAGCACACAGAGTGCTACAATAAATCCATGGAATAACAGCAGCACCCAGGTGGAACAGCCTTCTCACACTCGTTAAAGCCCATTTGAGACACACACATTTGTGAATTTGAGCTGGCAACTGTGCAATAAGCGGTAAACAAAGATTGGTGCACTCACCTCTGGGGCTCACTGTTGGAAAGCAAGTGGTCTGGGACAGTGGACACCCTCAGGAGTACCATCCAGCTGGCATGATGTTGCCTTTGTTCTCTTCTGGCCAGCTGTCCTGGCCAGCAGCAGTCCAGGTTTCTGTGAGTTGGCTTTGGCAGCACTGATGGGTGCCAGCGGTCATGACAAGCCCTGCTGCCTCTGCCTGGTTAAACTCCTGCTGGAGATAAAGAGGGATGGGGTTAGTGATGGTGGAAAAGTAGGACGCTTGAGTACACGACCAACTGTCCTGTCCTTGTCCCTAGTCCAGTGGTGTGCTGACTGCTCCTGGTTTCACAGGAACGTGTAAAACACGGACGTGTTGGGGGCCTCGGTCACGTGAGCTGCCCCTGCGTGTGGGTCCCAGGCAGCTTGCCAAAACAGACTCGTCTGCAGAGAGTGCGTTCTGCTGCATGTATCAAGTACAGCAGAGTTGGCCACCTATGTGGTTTTCATCTGGAGGCCTCAGGTTTGAAGCAGAGTAATTATTTTAAGAGAATCCA